TCTGTAATCTGGCGCAGCAACTATTCTGCCTGTAATTACATTTAGATGCTATGCTGCTCCTTGATTCAAGGCAAAGGGCACATTGTGTGTATGTATTTAAATTTCCATGTATAAGTGTCACATATGTCTCTTCAACTAATCCTAAAATATTTTAGAAAATACTGAATATGGCTATTGATGAGTAAGTAAGCCCTTTAACTGTCTAATCTCTCACTGTTTTGTGTGTGTGTGTGTGTGTGTGTGTGTGTGTGTGTGTGTGTGTGTGTGTCTTGCATTTAAATGTGTACTACTTTAAGTCAAAAACAAATCTTGTAATTTAACCAGTTGACATGTTACAGATTTTAGATAATACATACATTGCATTTGCATATATTGCAGTCATTATTATTCATACATTTGTAAATGTAATGATGAAGCAATAGCCTTCGTCTGAACACAAAATGGCTCGACAGTTAATTGCAAGTTACTTTAGAACCTCAAAAAATGGAGAAATGATCTAATATCCTTCCGAGACTGACAGGTGTTACACTTCTCACTTTGAACACAGGTCGCCTCTTCCTTTTCTGTCTCAGTTTTCTGTTTCTCACCTTGAGACACTGCTTAAATCAGTGGAAGGTTTCTTTGAATAAGGCACAAAAGGGGAGAAAGAAGAGTACGGTGTCTGCGTGAGCCAGCTTTGTGTCTCTGGATGAGGAAGAGGTGGGTATGAGTAGTATCATAATGATTTGGATTTCGTTCCAGGTCTCTTGGAACATGCACTGTCTGGTGAAGTATTTTAAAAAGCTGCCTCGTGAATGTGTCTGCTTTGGATCATCAGCCCAGTCAGAGAGAGGGAGGTGGAAGAAGAGAAGACCCACCTGCGTAACCTCAGCTTGTCCTCTGCCAAGAACACAAAACACTGATCCAAGAGAAGAATATGGGTCTAATTTTGTCAGAAGACAGCTCTATCATATCATGAATCTTATCACTTTACATATTTTTTTTTACATGGCAGTCTATTGTAAGGAGTACAACTGTCAATATAAAATATACTTGTCTAAATAAATACATTTAAACTCCCTGAAATAATAAAAATAACATATCAAATTAAAAAAAAATACAAAAATATGTTTAATGATTATTTTTGTAACTTTAGCTTGTTATAGTGGAGCCAAACAGCTGTGGGCAGCAGGCAACAGCTTTGCATGTTTTTTATCTAGAGTGGAATTTATTAGAAGGGTTGAATGAGCCTCAGTGTGTTGGTTTCATTTTTATGTCACCTCATCAGTGTGCACGAAGCACAATTGTTAAAACTCAGACACACTATGGACGGAATGTATTTCAAAGGGAAACGATACGCCTCCTTTGAAGCACCACAGCGATATGTACAAAGGATGAATGTGTTTGACAAATTTGTACCACTATGACCTTGAGGTTATTACAGAATCAGGTCTTTACTCAAACAATTTTTCTGCGCATCTTTTTTGTTTGTCTTCATTAGTAAATCAAAACTATACGTTAATAAACACATCAGGCATACGCTTTTCGGAGACTTTATTCGATACCCCCATTTGCCTTCAGAACTGGCTGAACTCTACATGGCATAGATTCAACAAAGTGCTGGAGACATCCCTCAGAGACTTTGGTCCATATTGATATGATAGCATCACACAGCTGTGGATTTGTTGGCTGCACATCCATGATGTGAATCTCCTGTTCTACTACATCCCAGAGGTGCTCTACTGGATTGATTGGATGATTGTGTTGGCCATTTGAATGCAGTGAACTCACTGTCATCTTAAAAGAAAGCAGTTTCAGATTATTTAAGCTTTGTGAGATACCATGAAGCAGCCACCAGAAAATGAGCAAAATGTGGTCATAAAGGGATAGACATGCTCAGCAGCAACACTCAGGTAGGTTGAGGTGTTTAAATAATGCTCAGCTGGTGCCTAAAGTGTGCCAGGAAAATATCCCCCATACCATTACACTGCCAGCACCCTAATCATTTGAGGTGAGATTGATCCACATTATTATGCTGTTAATGCCAAGTTGTGATGCTACCATACAAATGTCGCAGCAGGAATAAATTCATCAGAACAGCCGACGCTTTTCCAGTCTTCTACTGTGTACTATTTTATTGAGCTTATGTGAGTTGTAACCTTAGTTTCTTGTTCTTATTTGACACAAGTGGCACCCAGTGTGGTCTTCTGCTGCTCTAGCTCATATGCTTCAAGTTACAGTATATTATGCATTGAAAGATATTCTTCTGCATGCCTTGGTTATAAACAGTGGTTATTTGATGCTTTCTGAACAATTTGAAGGATTCATTTTCACCATTCTGTAGAAAAGCCCTGAGATGGTGGTGCAGGGAAAACCCCAGCAGATCAGCATTTTCTGAAAACTTAGACCAGTCCGCCTGTTACATGTTTCATTCAAAGTCACTTAAATCACCTTTCTTCTCCATTCTGATGCTCAGTTGGAACTTCAGCAGGTCAACTTGACCATTTCTACACGCCTAAATACACTGAGTTGCTGCAATGTGATTGGTTAATTAGATGTTCACTTTAACAAGCAGTTCAATAATTGTACCTGATAAAGTGTGTGGGGTATGTACTTTGACATGATTAATAGTTTCTCTTAATTTCACTTCATATTTTACAAAGTGATCTGCAGATGAGTGAAAACTCTAAACTAGGGCTGTTATTTTACTGCCCAGTTATTGTGCAGTATTATCACAGTGACAATAGCACAATATCTGGAAATGCAAACAGCAATATTAATAACACTATGATTCAATTTCATCATTTAGTTGTTGTTTGCTGTTCAAGAACAGTATTGAAGCCAAAGTATGAATATAGGGAGCTGTAAAGAGACTCTGCAAATCAAAGCACGTTACTTATATACATACAATATTTCCATATATTTTATTTTCAATAATGGCATGCAATCCCTACATTTCCCATCCATACTCTCATTGAACTGTGACCAAAATCTATATTTAAACTATATAGAAAAGTGAAGAAAATCACTAGGTAGGCAGATGGTTAACCTTTCATGTGAACTTTCACAATAAAAACACCACACGCAGTGATAAAATCTTTCTTCACATATATTTTATAACATTTTGAAGTACATTAAGTACATTTTGGAAATAGAAGCTACAGTTTATAAAACCTTTCCAGCAGAAATCATTGATGGGCCAGCATCAGCCTTTTTACCTCTAGCAGACAGGTCTATTTTCTATATAAAAAATGAATTCAAAAACAAAAACAAAAAGAAATTAGCTACATTATTTTGTCCTGCGCTACCTTTAAATTCCCATGAAAGCACCAGCTGTCTGCATCTCGTCTTTTATAAAATATAAATTATTGAAAAATATTCAAATGCTTGTGAACTAAATACAATAAAAATGATCTCATAACAAAAATACAAAGACACTATAAAATATACAAAAAAACATCCAAAATAACAAGTTTTCCTTCTGAATCCATTCCGAGATATGCATATGCCACAAAATATTGTTAGGTGTACACTTGCCTGACTAGGTTTCATTAATACATAAGACCTGCAGTAGACTGTAGACTCTGACATTTAACAACAGTATAATTTCCTGACAAAGTAAATGTCAAAATATTAACATTTTAGGTAACAGAAATGTTTTCTCCGAGCACATTGATCTTATGAAGCCAACCATACTAACATTATGACGTTTGTGTTGGGAGGAAAAAAGAAAACATTTTTTTAATACAAACAGATAAAAAATAAGTCTTTTAAGCTCACTTTAATACAGAACACTGACATCAGAAAAATACCTGAACAATACCAAAGAAAAAAGAAAAAAAAAAGAGAGAAAGAAGATTTTCAAAACACTGGTGTGAACATATGCAGTAAAGGAATGAACATACAGTGCAGCTTATTCCTGAACCAACTGTTTAACTTCCAATTCTTTATCTTGGATAAGGAAACACTAAGCCAGTGCTGAATAACAATGGACAAGCTTGTTACCAGTTACACAGTATGAACGTATACATCATCTCTTACCTAAACTCAGCCGGTATCCAAAATCAAAAATGAAAAGAAAAAAAAAAAAAAAAAAAAAAACATCAGCAAAGACGTTACTCTTTGTCCTTACGCTGTGTGCTTTCTGACGTATTAACAAAAGATAAAAGACGACATTTCACGAATACGTGAGAGGTTTCTGGTCCCCATCTCCTAACGTTGTGGGTGCACCGTGGCCAAAGACCTCACATGGGCTTTGGTTATTATTCCTGCTTTGTCTTTTGCTTATTTGTGTAATCTGGGTCTCAGTAAAGCATTATGAAACAGAATCTGTACAAATAGACATCTCAGAAGCTATTTTCATCCATATGGGTAACTTTCAGCTACTGTAAACAATAACATTGTATTCTAATATAATACTCAACTTTGGCATTTCCCATAAGGCTAGTGTACAGCCACTGTTCCCACTGTTTGGGAGGAAACTGTTGCCAATTTGCTTGTAACCAGTCATTCATTTCTGAACTGAATGTAGATAAGTTGCAAAAGAATGTAAAATTAAAATGGAAGCCTCTGCCATCCGTCCTATATTTCTCAAGCAAGTTAACTTGCATCACTTGTATCAACCTGTCGTCATCAGACATCACGAGAGATCACCTACATTATCCACATCACCCATCACCTTCATCTATCCTCTAAAGTTTCAGATTCTCTATAGTCAACATTTATAGTCAGTTTTCCTATTACCTGACCTGCTTTCCTACACTGTACCTTCACACTATACTACCCTTCCTTATGGCCAAAACGTACAACACATTTGAAAGAGAATTATGCAAGATTACATCAGCAAACCAACTTGCAATTTTACTCTCTAGGCAATTAATATGAAAACGTGTCTAAAAGTAAGCTTACATGGGCAGTGAAATGAAATTATGCATTTAATCTGCACATGAAACAGCTCCTCTTACTCCTGAATTTCCCCATATAAGATTGTCTACAGTTTGCTAATACTGGTGGTATATGCAAAAAAAAAAAAAAAAAAATGCACGACTTTCAGTCACAATATGCGTCTCTAACGAGGTGGCAAACATGTACATAAAGGTGAACGTGTCAGTTTCAAAAGCAACGGCTACTTTCAGTTGTCTTTCAGACACTCTTGCTATGAGTAACCTCACCAGGTCTTCACACTCTACAAAGCAAGGGGCCAGTGTCTATAGTGTTGTCTGATAACGCATCAGCACATTTCAGTTGAAAGTTCCTTGAGAACAGACGAGTAAAACTTGGCATCTAATGTTTGGTTCCACTGTAATACCGTCACTGAGAACAATGTGAAAAAATACCCTTTACAACACTTATCCAGAAGATGTACAGCGACTGTTTTGAGAAATCGGCATTAGTATGGTGGCACAAGCATAAACAGCAATTTATACCAGACACTTTTTTTTTTCCTTTTGTTTTTTTTTTGGTCCTAGCTGAAAAAAGTCTGTCACTGCCAAAGGGAAAAACAGTAAGCATGTATGCAAGTATGAGATTATACCTTCCTCAGTTCAGTTCAGGTTTTTTTGGCAACCGTTTTCTTAGCAGGAACTTTCCGCTTCGTTTAGCCCAACATTTTTATTGTCTCTCTCTCTCTCTCTCAGTTCTCCCCCACTTTGCTACTTAGTCAGAACAGAACCTGAAATCTACCCGGTAACGCTTTGTCTGCTTTGAGCTGCTAAATGACACCAGTATAAGTCACTCATACACACATACACACATGCGTGCACACACACGCACCTCAAATGCAACAGGGTAAGAATACAGGTTTTAGGCTTCTGCCTTCGGTTTTAAAATTATGGTCTGAGAGACAGGAGCTCAAAGTTGACAAAGACCACAGTTATTCGTTTAAAAAAAACAGCAAAAAAAACCCAAAAACCAAAACAAAACATTTTTGGTCCCCAAAATAATTGGTTTACCAATTCTATTAAACAGTTAAGACCACTTTATGAGCCTCAGTCCAAGTGGCTCCTTAACTTTTTGTCTTCACTTCCTTTTTTATTCTTTCATATCTGATTCACTCGTCCGTATCAGGCTTTACATCCAACATTGCATGCAGCTCCTCGGGAGTGTACCCCAGCAGGCTTTTCAAGTCACAGACAAAACGGTAGACATAGCGTTTCCCAGATGTCTTGTGGATGATATTCTTGTCATAGTAGTAACGCAGGCCACGGCTCAGCTTCTCATAATTCATCTTAGGCTTGTTTTTTCTTTTGCCCCACCTTCGAGCAACCTGAAAAAGCACAGTGAACAAGCCTGTCAAGATGTGCCAGAAACGTTAGAATACATACTTCTGTTGAAACTTGCAATTAATTGAGCTACATGGAACAAGCAGCCATCTTGTTCATCTGGCTAACTACTTAAGACCTCCCAGCACGTGTGCTAGATGACCAGTGGGGTCGCAACCTCTCACCTCATCTGGGTCAGAAAGCTTGAACTCCCAGCCGTCGCCTGTCCAGCTGATGAAGGACTGGCAAGACTTGTCGGTCAGTAGCTCCAGAAGAAACTGCCACAGCTGGATGGGGCCACTGCCTGCAGAGCAGATGGGGGTGGAGGGGGAGAAGGTGTTCGTTTAAGAAGAAGAGCTATACACACTGAGAGGACACATTGTTGTTTGTGCAGATGCCAGTTGCTGTGGGGATTGATTGAGGTGAGGCTAAGTTCAGAGCAAAAGAGCTCCTGTTGTTGGAAAATGCTCCCAAGTCCCATAGTCTGCTCAACATTTTATCGAACTAAACTAGTATATTTCACATAACAATACGCCGAATCTAGGAGATATCCCATCAGTCCATGTGCTATGCAGAATGTGTTGAGGAACAGCACTGTCTGTACAATGTCCTATCTGTGATAAAAGTCACGGCCAGAAGAAGCACGACACTAAGTACTTATGCTATATATGAAAAGTGTTACATATTCATGCAAATTATTCACTTAATTTGAAAAGAGGAACAAAGTAAAGCTTCTAATCTGGGTCAGACTAAAGTACAGCAGTGGAACTAAATGTCGTCCCAAGCACAGAAGTCCCATTCATCATGTATTCCCTTGTCTGCCAGTTGCCCTGTGCAGTATGTGAATTTAGAGTGAGAGGCTGTGTCTGCAAGAGTTCCACACTGATGAAATCACTATTTTAAAAATAAGAAGGGCTGCATTTAGGCTTCAGCAGCACATCTACTGTACTTGAATAGAGTCTGTTTTAAGAAAGAGAGCAGTTGCCAAGTTCAATGCAAAGTTAAGAGGGTGCATTTTTCCAAGAGTAACATTAAATGAATAAACTAGTAAAACATCATTTCAATGTCAGAGCAAAAAGTTTATTAGAGTTCATGGAAAAAAAAAGGAGGGAAAGCAGAACAAAGGCGATAAAAAAAAAGCCTGGTTTTGTCTCTGAACTAGATTCACTGCAGTGCACTTTGATCGTGTGGTTTTTTTTTGTTTGTTTTTTTTTTCAGCATACACATGAACCCACCCACTTTTGAGGCTTGCGTGTTGAAATCACACCTGCCAGTGCAGCACACCGCCTAAGCAAAACTGGAGCTAAGCAAAAGTCACCTCTCTCGAGTGCCTCAGAAAACCAAACGTAGCCTTTTTGTAACAAAAACAAAAGCGTTCAGGGAAACAGACGTGTGGGTTGAACAACTCGAAATTTAGAGCCCTCTAAGGCCTCGCAGGGACTGAAGAAGAAGGTGCATGACAGCAGCCATTCCGAGTTTGGAAAATAAGTGGCTCCGCAACATCGGGTGTCACTCATACAGAAAGCTTTGACTCGTGTTCCTGCTGCAGTAACTGTGAGCCCACATAAGGGTAATACCAGAATCTCATGCTTTCACGCCACAATGTAGGCAACCCTTTTTAAAATATGTTAAAATCTTTTCACAATGGGGCTCACTGAACAAGCATAAGGTTGGGGCTCGTCTTCATCCATGGCAATATGAGTCTAAAACCTATATGGCTATTTAAAGGACGATAATTCAAAGGTGTGGATAAAAAAATTTTAAAGGCGAGAACAGCTAATATTGACTGGCAAATTACTAATTTTTACAACGTTGCAATGCAAAAGCCCTCTGTGTGTACGAGCAAATACATGCAATAGTGAGACAGAGAGCGAAATATCATGAACCAAAATGAGAGTTCGCTATGTTGTAAGGTGGCCTGATGTTATTGCAGACAGAGGTGTAAATGATGAATTGTCGCAGGAAACCACGCAGATGGCAACTGGAGCCTTATCTCCCTGCAGCCTTATCAGGTCCCCTGTCCTCGTTACAAGTGTCACCTGTCACCCCGTGACTTAAACAGGAAGTCGAGCAAGAGCAAGCTGTCGAGCTGTCATAAACACTGTTTTGGAATTGTACAAGAGGTTGTTTCTTTATTTTGAGGGATTTCTTTTTTCCAGATAGAGGTCTCTTTCTCTCTCTTGCTCCCCCGATCCTTTTTTTTTCTTCTTCTGTTTTTATTCACCCACCCACACATGCACATGGGCAAACACAAAAATGCTTCCATCTTTGAAAGACCACAACTCTCTTTGCACTACTCTTTAAAATAGCAGGGTCCAGAGCAGCAGTTAGAAGTTTTTGGTTGTTGTTTTTTGTCTTAAAAACTGGAGTGTTGTGGCATTATTACCTTCATGGTTATAGTTTCATAGTCAAAACAAGTCTCTTCTCACATTAGGCCGAAAGCAGCTGCCATGCTTTCCTTACAAGTACACAATTTGGAGTTGAAACATGCAGTACATAAAAAGACAGATTATGAAACTATGCAACTATGACTCGTTTATAATATGTTTACGCCGTGACTGCTTGCAGCCAGTTTGCATTGCCTCTGCTGGTTTAGCGTGCAGGGAGAAAACAGATTTAGATCATTCTAGAGATGCTCTGTGCCTTGGTCTAATCCATTTGGTTATAAATTCATAACTATGTCGTTCCAACATTTCATAAATGACTTATTGTTCTAAAAGTGGCTCTTGAACTAATGACCATACAGCTGACCAATTAACTTGTGCATACCAACTTTGGGGCACTCTGCAGAGATCTGATGTATGCATTGTTTGTGACGTTGGAAAATATGCTTGGATTTCCCCCTTTTTCCAATACTGGCAGTCTTACTGCCATGTGACTGTAATTTAAACAAGACCGAAAAAGTCCCAAACACTCTGTGAAGAGTCGATTCAGCATCAGTGTTCAACTGTGTCAGTGTTCAGCTGTGTTTACAGTTCAGCTTTAAACTAGAATAACTTGAATTAAACCCCTTTGCAGGGATTTGACTTTTCTCTTCGTATGTTTGGCAATTGACATTAAAAGACAGCTAACTTGAGGCCAAAAAAACAGAGCTATTTATGTCATCTTCTTTTGATTCAAATTAACTTAAAAGTTGTATTTATGGCTCAGTGCTGATAAACGATTAAGAAGTAGCAACAGCAGCAGTTGGGTTTCTTTTTTTTGCACCCTTTTGAAACTAAAAGTCATGCCAGATGCTAAAATAGTGCATTTGCTGCACAAGAGCCTTTAAAATATCTCTCCATCTTACTGAACTTGAAGAACATACATAAAGGAGCTTTTTCAGCATGCATGAGTGAGAAGATGCCTCATGAGATGAAGAGATAATTTTACTCTGCTCTGGTGTTATGTGCAGGGGCAGGCATAATTTCTAAGTTTCACGAGCGTTGCTAGGACGACCTGGAAAAAATAGGTTGAGATGCGGGCTGCCGATAAGAAGAAGGTAGATGAGAAGACAGAAAAGAAGAAGAGAAAAAAAAAGCGAGAGAAAAAGAAGTGAAGTAAAAGGAGGCATGAGTAAAATCTGTTTTATTTCCTGTGATGTGCATAACTTGGGTTGCCTGGGTAAAAGGTGTGCTTTTTTTCCCCTTCTTTGGTCTAAAAGTGTTGCATTCAGGCACCACAAGATTTGGCACTTTTGCAGAGCATCAACAAGTTTGTTACACCACATTATACACTGCATTTTGTGCCCTACAGAAGTGTTTATATTAAAATTATATTCACAGAAATCAACAATCGGACTGGTTTTCCATAAATGTCTACCGTTTGCATGCACGCGATCAGAAAAAATACATATAGACCAATATTACTCTTTTACTGTAATGACTGCATATAAATATAAAGTGTGATTTCTAGACATCTTACCTGTGTATCCTGCCAGTGCTGCTGCTGGGATGACGGGTTTGTCCTTGCTGAGGTCTGAGCGCTCCCTCACATAGTCTTTAAAGGTGCCCTTGGGCTTGTGGCCATGCAAGGCAGTGGGGTAGTCTTCTGAGTCAAAGCTGTCATAAGACGGTACCCGCTGCAGGCTGCTAAATGAAGACTGACTGCTCCAGGACTGGGTCAGTCGGTCGCAGCTCTCATAGCTGTCAATGCTCTCAAACGAGTCCTGGCCACCAAGCTTACCTGGAAGGGAAAGGGCGAAAAAAAATTTAAAAATTGGCAAGAATTGTTATGTAGGTAGAAACTCTAAACTCACATTACTGTGATTTCAAACTCGGACATTGTTTGTGGACAAGTTATATGATATTAAAATTTTAGCATTTAGGCCAGTTTGATGATGGCAAAAATCTTAAGATGATTCCCGTCAATGTTGCATTGATGTTGGCATTGCACATTAGTGATTACTCAGTTTTATAGCATCATTCAATTTGTCACAGTCACACACAGGCTATGTTTTTTTAGTCATCCCAAGATGAACCAAGTCTACCACAGCCTGATGGAAAGTGACTTTGGACTTTCGGTAAGAGCCAAAGTTGAACCGATGGAAAAGAAATAAGTGCACTCGCTATATGACACAGATAGATTCTATGACAAATCACTATTACCTCCAAAACTGTCGGATGGCGAAACTTGAACAATAGCAAATAACTCTGAATTAATTGCGAAAACCTTGCTGAGATTTGACAAAAGGGACATTAGCCACACCTTAGAAGTAAATTGTTTTGCTCCTCACTAAGCTATAGCTTATTGCTCTGTACAGTGCCACGTCCCTCCATTTCACACCTCATTTCACTTTCACAACCAGCATTTGGGTTTGATTTTAAATGGAAGACATTCACAGAAATTGCCCCGCTATTTTTGGCCTTGATGACGATAAGAGGAGTCTTTCAGTGGTAAGCCATTAACAAATGACAGATAATGCCATGCCGCTATTGATGCTGAAATCTTCAACTGGTAAAATTGGAGCCACATGTGGATATCAATTGTGCTACAAGATACTTTCCCACGTCGGGAGAGCACAGTTCAATGCGCAAACACTTGGTATGTGTGATGCATGGGGATTGGATCTCAAGCTTTGCAGGCAAATGCTTAAAGCACTGGATGGAGGACTCGTATGGTTTACATGGCACTTGCTAATAATTTATACAGCTGGGGATTTGGGAGAAGAAAAACCCTAGCTTTATGGGTAACAGTCTAAATCATACCGCTAATTCCTCTGTAAACTATTGCTGGGAGAGAAAACAAGCTCGAGCATTCAGAAAAGCAAACAGTTTCATGAGAAAACCCCACGCTAACTGAGGATGACACCTCTATCTCCTTACCCAGAACCCTAAGGTTGCGCCGAAGAAAGGAGGCCAAGAAAAACAAGAAAGAGAAAAAAATACCTTTTTTTTTTTAACGTTACACCACTTGAACTGTTTTACATAAGGGACATGCGGCAAGAACAGAACACATTGTGGCTTTGGTTCGTGTATCGCTCTGACAAAAACAATAGAGTTTTTTTTTCCCCAACCCAGTCTAGAGTGTACAAGTCGGGTTTGCTTGAACCACAAGCCAACCAGAAGGCCTGCTTTTCTTCTCTTCTAATACTTGCACACTGATGTGGCATGACAAGATTCTGGTAGCTTCAGCACAATCACACGCAGGCAGACACCCATAGAAACCTTCAACTTTTACATGCATTCAGACAAACTCAAGCAAGTGCATGTGGTAAGCAGGTAATTAGAGCAAACCTTCTGAGTAAAATGTAAATGCACCACATTTTCACTGCAAAGCTAGTCCCACATTCTTTAATGTCTCCTCAAATCTCAGCCACATACTTATGCATTGTACGACCGCTCACCTCTGCTGAGGCGTCCCACGCACATGTTGTCAGGTGACACCACCTCTTGCTTGACAGAAAAGTAGTCTCCCGGCATGCCGTTGAGGGCCGTGTCCCGGAGGATGACCGCAGCAGGGTATTCACTCTCATATTTGAGGGTCAGCAGTTCTTCTGAGCTGATGGGATGAAGTGTCTGGTAGGACTCTGTGATGAAGCCGGGCTCTGAGTATTCAGAAGGAGGGACACACTGAGCGTGCTCAACACCATAGCCTGGAGCAAACAAAGGGAAATGAGTGTAGATAGAAAGCAGAGAAGGAAGGCAAGCAAGGAGCAACACAGAGGAGGAAGATCGATCTTAAAAGGAGTGGAGTCATTATCCCTCTTGTGCTGAGCCGCCACCGAAGTTCTCGGCACGTGAATAGTCCAAAAGAAAATATAGCCCTGAGCACACGGGAACAATCTTGTAGATTTTCAGCAAGACATATTGATTGAAGCTAAACTCAGCAAAAAATTCACAGTGATGCCACTGTACGTGTGGTCACTATTCATCTACAGCTGCAAAGATGTACTGAGGATCTATATCTAGGAAATAAATCCAAGAAAAAAAATGTGTGTGGGGGGATTATTTGCTAACGCTAACCAACTTGCCACACTGAACCACCTTATCTACTTCCTCTATTTGGATTCCCTTTCATATTTTAATATTTGTTTTCTTATGCTATCAGATTGACTGTGATGAATACTTACTGACAAAGTAGTCTGAGGTAAAGCGGGATTCCTGGAAGTTAGAGTTGAGTCCATTCATGGGGTAATGCTTTGTATCCTCTTCATGAAAAATAGATGGAGAATGAGAATCAGTGACCTCATCATTGATTTTATGTATCGTGTAACTGCATCCTGCTCTATCAAAAATTAATGACCTGAGCAAAATCGTGTCTTCCTGTTTGGCTCCTGTTACAAGAGCAAATACCAACAGTCCTAAACTGGAGTAAGCAGTGATGTCAGCCTGTGTAGTGAGAGCTTTCTTATTTGACTCGCATCACAAAACTGAGACTTTTAAATCTCTTAAACTCATCTGATAATCAGAGGATAACCATCTTACGCTGTTACCTTTTTGAAGCATTTCCAAATGCTCCCAAAGGATGTCGCCCACAAAGTCAGGCGCCAAGTCCAAGAATCGCTCCTTCCCCATCGCACACAGGCTGGCTCCGTTGATGCCAAACTTGTCAAAATCGACGTTCTTCAGACTGAATTCGTTCACGGTCCACGTTAGCCACTCGGCCACGTGCTTTTCTGTCCACAGTCTAGGATCTGCACAGGATTGCAAAGAGTGGCAGTTACTGTTAAACGTCGACAACACCATCCAGACACATTTACTCAAATATTCAGGTCAGCTTGTGAATGATACGACAGGACAGATTCTCATTTTTTGCAGTCTGAGCTGGAGCCAACTTTCACTTAATAACCTACAGCAAAGTGGGAAGCTGAAGTGACTGTAAACCACAGTTGTAATGAAAAGCTAAAAAAAAAATCATAATTTGCAGATCACATGGGTTGCTGTAATTGCTTCAGTTTTCAATGCCATCTCTTTGCTGTCTGTCTCTGTGTCTCAATTCTTGGGATGTTGCAGTCAGTCAGTCTGCCTGGACTGAATATATATAATGCAACGCCATTTCTGGAACAACTGGGCGTTTCCTTTTCAGTCAGTCTTTCTAAGAGGTGCTTTCTCAGAATCCTCTGAAGAAAGCCGAAATGTGAAAGAACTGCAGATGTGTGCGCCTGATATGTGACACACTGAGGTATTCTTAGAGGGCTGGTGCTGCAATTTGAGTTTTCAAATGAAAACATTAACAGGAACTAATGACAGCAAAAAGCAGCTGGCAGTCTTACCTTTGGGAATACCCAGTCGCTGCTGTTCCTTTGTGAAGCCACTAAAGGTAGCCTTCAAAGCCTGGGACATCATCTCTTTACTTCCTGGAGTTAGCAGGGGGACATCTCCACACTCGGGATCTGCAAATCACAAAGAAGATTATTTATTTTGAGTAACACCAGCATCTGTTAGACTTGAAATCCAAATGACTAATATTACATGCTCCTTTCACTCCTATTGACAACTGAGGCTGCGGCAGTGCATCCTGTATTATATTTCATGCCGATAAAGCTCGCTGAATGGAAAATTTAATTGAGACAAAGAGGCGGCGGGAAGAGTCCTGTGAATGTGCGCTTCGGTTAGACATTGACACAGTTACGTGCGCGTGCATCCACGTCCACACAAACACAGCAAACATTTATATCTACCGTGATCAACAACATGGTTCAACAATTACATTCCGTCTAGACAGACACTGTCTCCATATCGGCTCCAATCTATTGAAACAAGGACTGTCACAGCTTTGGCTCGAACCTGTTTAAAAAGTAAGGGAGAGCCATGTCACTGTGTGTATACTGTGTTGGTAAACCCCACATTTATTATCTTCTACCTGTACATCCTGGGTGGGAGAGTGGTCAGTGGCCAGTGCTGCCCATCAGCGACACTATGACCTCTGCTAGCCCTCCTACCACGTCGCCCCGACACAGTGGGCCTACTGTCACAGGACCCAGCGCCGGGTCAAGCATTCTCACAGGTCAAGGGTCGAGGGATGAGGTGATGATGTCACCGCGGCTGCTGGCGAGTGACTTGGAAAGTCGGGGGTGGCCCATCTCGAGGGGATTCAGTTACACACTAGGGTTACTGTTCTCGGCTCACAGCCAGTGGGCAACCAGTGGGACACAGAGCTCCCTTTGATGGCTTTAAACAGTGCCTGATGACTCGCACTCATCTAATTAGATTTACTGGGCTGCAGAAGTATGGCGATAAGGGGGCAAAACAGAGGATATGATGAGGAGGAGAGAAGGGGAAAGACCCTCTGGCCTCTAATATAAAAACAGACTAGTTAAAAAAACAAAAACAAAAAAAACCCAGCAACCTAGGCTCAACAAATAACTTGTAAACAGCCACAAAAAAAGAACCTAGAGTTTCAGTTAGGGCATATTTTATCTTTTAAATCTCCAAACCGTCCACACACATTTGCACAGCACACAATTACATCTGTTATTATCTGTTACTGTGCAGTAAAGCTTAATGTCACTTTCTTGTGTACTCAACTTTTGGGGGGGGGGGGGCAACGTGCATACGGCAAAACTTAAAAACACAGCAGGTCAGCTTAGGTCTCAAGTAGGTTAACATGCAAACACATAAAAAAATCAAAGAGTCAGCCAGGTCTTGATTTTGGTGGTGAGTCTATTTCTTTAGATCATTTTTTTCTTTGTCCATTACATGCAATTTCAAATCATTAATCCTAGATCACAGAAAGGCTTGTCTTCAGGGCAAACAAGCTGTGAGGAGTGGGTGTGTCACACTTGCAGCACCGCCATGTGTCAAACCCAGATGTTCTGGCATCTCCACTGGCTGGTGTTTTATCTGCCAGCAGTATACTAGAGCAACATACAGTTCATGCTTGTTTTCACCACTGACGTCGCGACCTTGTCTGGAATGCACAGCAGCTTACCCCCCCCGTCCCTACTTCGCCCATGTAACCAATGTCTGTCTGGCTGTTTGTAAAATTAGGTTTCCCAGTTTCTGTTTTTTCGGTCTTTAGGTCGTTTTTTTTTCCCCCCTTTTCTTCCCCCTCTTAAGCTTTTTTGCAGCAGACTGGAGAAAGAAGACAGAGGAGCTCTTTGCTTCTTCCTGTGATTCAATTTGGGCTGTAATAATATAGTCTGAACAAACAGAATGTAACCATTTCAGTCAGAAGTGAAGGTAAAAGGTTGAAGAGTTGAGAACAGCCATTGTTTTACAGTCTCACACAAAAACCCTGTTTAACTACTGTCAGCCATGGCTCACACATCAAAATAAAGCTGGTTTCTCTATTTGACAAAAAAAAAAAAAAAAGACTGCAAGGTTGTCTAAGTTTCTACTGAGCTCGTTTTGCTTTTAAGTAGTGTTGGTAATGCAGAGAGGTACATGTTGCAAATGGCTGCAAACTGAGATGTGACCGGGGCTCAGACAGTCTGTGCTTTGATGTGAAAGCAAAGGCAAAATGTGGCAGTTTATTTAAGCTGGCTCAAGTGGAGTTTGTCTGCACTTTCAAACCGCTTACACCCCTCCCTCCACACCGCTTTTATCAACCCATCCGCACCGCGTACTTGCCCACACAGACTTGAACCCATTTTAGCACTAAATCTTCCATCAAAGACACTTAACACTACAGTGCATGAGAACTAACATTAGACACTAGAGAGAGTAAAAAGAAAAATGTGAACCCCGTCTACAAAGCATATCATTATTGGGTTGTTTTAATACTTCTTGAAATCCTGCTCAGGCTCTAATTCAAACCACAAACACAATTAAAAAAGAAGAAGAAGGTTGACTGTCAGGTGACAGTCAAATAGTGTGTTTTGTGTACATACACTACTTTGTTGTAAATTTTTCTTTTTGATCTGAGCTGATCTCCTAAAAACATGATGCAGAATGTTCAGCAAGGCTGAAAGGAGAACGCTAAACGTAACAGTGAAGTGATAATAGAGCAGTCTCCATGGTGAATGATCCATATGAAAGTTATCTGCGGCAGTGCTAATGTACAATGTGCATCCATTAGCGAGAGAGGCGAGCTTGGATCTAGACAGTCTCGAGTAAATGATGAAGTCCTGATACGATTTCAATGCCTGCGAGCCCCATTAGATAGAGAACGGTCAGTATGTACTGAGAGCTAGAGCATCCACTAGTCATCACTTTCCACATTAGACTGTGTGGGTCTGTCCGCAAAATGAGTCCCATCCACTTAGCTCATGAAATGTGGGAATGGATGTAAATCACAGGCAACATTATGGCATTTCACTGACAAGTATCTGACTTAAAAGAAGAGAAAAAAAGAAAAAGAGCTTCTGCAGCAAAATGTACAAAATGAAACCAATTTTACTAATGAGGTAAAAACCATATTAAGTTCATCTATGCTAAGAATCACTGACGAATTGAGACTGATGTTTAGTCTAGATTACAGTAAAAGGTATTGATTAGCCACTCTCCTCTTGCCATGAAATGAGTAATGGACAAGCTACTGAGTGCGACGACGATATTTCCCCCAGGGGTTCTCGCTGAGGCTATTCCACCTTTACTGCTCTGCCCTTGTGAGCAAGGCCCAACCCAACTTTAGACAGAGGTACTTCTTTGGCACCTCAGGCTGTTAAAGTGACTCACATAAACACACATATACACATACACACCAAATTAGTGGCCGTCTTTGCCTGTGCGCCAGAGCGTGGGTGTGAAATTGGGATTTTCACAGCCAGGGCCAAAGTCTATTGGGCTGGAATAGGCACGGATGGGCAGGGCGGGACAGGGCTGGGGAAGATAGCAAGAAAGCATCTTGGGTGGGTGATGGGTGACTGAGTTGGGTGAGGGGTGGGCAAAAAAAAAAAAAAAGAGCGAGAGAGAGAGTGAAACCAATGAATGGGAGGTTTCATAAAGCTCCCTCTCTTCTCCTTGTCTGTGGCATGACATCACAGTGGGATCGGTGCCATCTCCCAGCCTCTGGCGGAGAGTCAGTTCATTCATAAAGCCTGGACTGCTGCCTCTGCTCCGAATGATGCAATGATACAACGGAGCAGGCAACCAGACCCAACAAATAAGGGACAATATGCTTTCTATCATGCGATTGAGCTATAAATAGGCCTATAGTTTATGAGTGGGTGTGTGTTGGTGTGAGGAAGCAAGATCGGACTGTGAATAAAAAAATAAGGACAAGATCTGAAAGGGTAAATCAAAGCTGGGCTTTTGATAGCCTTTGTCAATAGCAAGGAGCCAGTACTTAGGACTGCATAGCCGTTTATTTATATCAGATTGTGGCAATTTGGGTATCCCGCTATTCGCACATCTTAGCACATTGGGGGGGGACGTCTTTATAAAGATCTGCATAAGTCCATTTCCTGTGGCTGAGTTGCCACTTCCTGTGGGAGGTGAGGTGAATTGAGGGTTCGGGTGAGGGTTAAAACATTTCATAACAACCACTATGGGCTTATACCCTTCTTGATTATCCCTACATGCACACACGTACATATTAAACAGGATTACGGCAAGCTGTGAGGAAAAAAAACAGGAGCTCCTGGTTAATAGTTAAGAGCTTATAATTAGTTCTTCAAGGCAGACCAGCCCACAGCTGACCAGAGGTGACAGGAGTATGTGAGAACGCCTTTGATGGAGATACATATCTAGACCCCCGGTCTGCAAAAGCAGGGTCATAAACTCGGCTGGTATGAAGGGGACCCATTCAGCACCACAGAGTGATAAAGTGGTGACTGAAGGCTGCAGTGGAGCAAAAGGAGAAGAACGGGGTGGCGGTCTGGTTTTAAGAGGGCTGCTTGTTCAGTCAGCCAGACTGTTTAAATTTCCATCTCAATGCCAAGAAACCAGGAATTGAAGTGTATGCAAGGCGATGAAGCCGGCCAGACCGGCAGCAGACCTTAGCATGCTTCGAAGCAGGACAACGTCAGGCTGAAGTCCTCCCACGCGCAAACCAGTACAATCCCACCATCACAGGCAGCAGTGCTGAATAACTAGTTTTATTCTTAGATCTTCACCACTGCCTTCTGGCTGCCCTCCTGAAACACAAGCCTGTGGTGGTGTAAAGCTGCTGTACGGGACAAGCCTAGTATTGCTGACATCTGTCTTTGGCCATGAAAATAGAGTTGCTCAGGATCATCACCACCACAGACACACTGGCTACTGAAGCAGACAATAAGTCAGACTAATACCCCATAGCTGCCTTTCTGTCTTTCTTTCCTCCACTCCCTCCTTCTCTGAAATCATATTAGCCCATGATGTGAAAGTGCATTAACGCTACTGTTTATGCTATGGCCTCGGTGCTTGATATGACATTCACTTTGATCCACGCCATCACCAAGAGACACTTAACATTATTTTTCTTTTTTTTTCTTTTTTTTGCTAAAAGCTTGTTAGAAATTCTGTCCTAGAA